TTGAGATGCTGTGTGGCCTGCTTCTAAACACATGGACTCTCTGAATTCATTCATTCATTTATTCAACTAATACTTATAGGCATATGTAATATATAAACCATAATACCAACTATATATAATACATCTAAACTTCCTTCAATTTCTAGACACTGGAGATATAGCAGGGAACCAAACATACATAAATTCCTGACTTCATGGTCCTAACATTATAGAAAATTCCATAGATAAAATGGCAATGAGGCTGTGATTCTGTTGCCCCTCCCCCATCATACTCTCATTTCATCCTCTCAGGTAATCCTTCCCTACTTCTAAGAGGAAACTTCAATCTCTGGGCTGAGTCCTCATTTTTCCCCTCGGCCTTTAGGGTCTATTTCCTCCTTACCTGAGAGCAGGAGGCTCTTTGAGAAGCAGCCCTGGGTCCCCATGGGAATCTCCATCTTGGCGTCTTGTGGAAATGCCAAGGGGCCACGAGCTGGACACTAAGGGGGCCAGAGGGGTGGGCCCTGGCTGTCTGAAGTAGGCCAGCTCAGTGGGGATCCCAGGGGTGCCTTAGAGACACCGCTGAGGCTGGCCCAGCCCCAGCATGCCCTGTCCATGGGCTCTGGAGGCTCCACCTATACTCCCTGGGATGGAAGCACAGACAGAGGTTGAACCAGTTTTTCAGGGTGACTGGGGAACTTCCCAGGACTCCTCCCCTGATCCTCTTCAACCTCTTTTTCTCACTCAGTGTGACTACAACAGCAGTCACTATAGCAATAGTCATAGCAGCTGCTGTTTGAGCAATTCCCCTAGGTTTGCTCAAACACACACTACCTCATTCAGCAGCCACCATAAATAACTGTTCCCATTGCACAGATGTGGAAACAGAGGCCCAGGAAAAGAAACAAGTCTGCCAATAGACAGAGGTGGGATTTCACCTGTGACTGACTCACTTGAAGGCTCTGAGACAGGCCGGGTGCGGTAGCTCACGTCTGTAATCCCAGCACTTTGGGAGGCCAAGGTGGGTAGATCATGAAGTGAGGAGTTTGAGACCAGCCTGGCCAACATGGTGAAACCCTGTCTCTACTAAAAATACAAAAATTAGTCAGGCATGGTGGTGGGTGCTTGTAATCCCAGCAACTGTGTAGGCTGAGGCAGGAGAATCACTTGAACCTGGGAGGCAAGGGGTTGCAGGGAGCCGAGATCGCGCCACTGCACACTAGCCTGGGTGACAGAGCGAGACATTGTCTCAAAAAAAAAAAAGCTGTTAGCCTGGTGGTTTTTTATTTTAATTAATTTATTTTTTTGAGATGGAGTTTCGTCTTGTTGCCCAGACTGGAGTGCAATGGCGTAATCTCGGTTCACCGCAACCTCTGCCACCAGGATTCAAGTGATCCTCCCACTCAGCCTCCCGAGTACCTGGGATTACAGGCATGCGCCACCACGCCCAGCTAATTTTGTATTTTTAGTAGAGACAGGGTTTCTCCATGTTGGTCAGGCTGGTCTTGAACTCCTGACCTCAGGTGATCTGCCCACCTCGGCCTTCCAAAGTGCTGGGATTACAGGCGTGAGCCACCGTGCTCGGCCTGTTTTTTTTTTTTTTTTTTTTTTTTTTTTTTTTTTCTTGAGTCAGGGTCTTGCTCTGTCTTTCCATTCACGAACATTATTTTGTAGTTTTTAAGTGTGTGGTTTTTTTTTTTGAGACGCTGTGTCACCCAGGCTGGAGTACAGTGGCACAGTCTCAGTTTACTGCAATCTTCCCAGGTTCAAGCGATTCTTCTGCCTCAGCCTTCTGAGTAGCTGGGATTACAGGCATGTGTTACTATGCCCGGCTAATTTTTGTATTTTTAATAGAGATGGGGTTTCGCCATGTTGGCCAGGCTGGTCTCAGACTCCTGATCTCAGATGATCCTCCTGCCTCAGCCTCCCAAAGTGCTAGGAGTATAGGCATGAGCCACTGCACCCAGCCCCAGAGTGTATGTTTTGTACTTTTCTGGATCATGTTTATTCCAAGTGTGTTATTCTTGTTTGTTTTTTGTTTTTTGTTTTTTGAAGACAGGGTCTCACTCTGTTGCCCAGGCTGGAGTATAGTGGCATGATCATTGCTCACTGTAGCCTCCAACTCCTGGGCTCAAGCAATCCTTCCATCTCAGCCTCCTGAGTAGCTGGGACCACAGTTGTACACTAACATCCCTGGCTAATTTTTTAATGTTTTGTAGAGATGGGATCTCACTATGTTGCCCCAGGCTGGTGTTGAACTCCTGGGCTCAAGTGAACCTCCTACCTTGGCTTCCCAAAGTACTGGGATTACAGATGTGACCCACCACACCTGGCTTAGCCTAGTTTATAAAAAGCATTCTCCATTCATTCCAGCATACACTCCCAGTGCCCAGTCGTGGGTGCTGGGTGATGTTGGTGACACACTGATGATTGAGACCATCTCTGCTCTGCCCTCCGTCCACAGTAGGGCACACAGTCCTGTAGGGTGTGGTGGGCAGACCCCTCTCACACAATTATGATCCAGGGTGATCAGGGCTGAGACGGAGGAGCCCAGAAGTCTGGGAGAACCCAAGGAGACACACCTCATTCAACCTGAGGGCTAGGGAGGGCTTCCTGCGGGAGGGGGCATCTGAGCTGAGACCTGGAGTGAGAGTAGAAATGAGGCAGATGATGGGGTGAGGCAGCGTGAGATGCACCAGGCAGCATAAACAGCAATGCAAGGATGTGGAGGCTGAGATAGTCATCAAGGCATATTGAGGAGGTTGCAATATCTTGGGTGAGTGGAGGCAGGAAGGAGGGCGTGGGGCATGTGTGTGTAAGGCTGGGAGGTGGGAGAGATCAACTATGCTCTGTTGGTTGGATCAACAGAGCTTGGGTGATGGAGGGTCTAGTGTTATGCTGTTTAATATCATAGTTATTAGTCATATTTAAATATAAATTTAGGCCAGGCACAGGTGACTCACACTTGTAATCCTACCCCTCTGAGAGGCTGAGGTGGGAAGATTGCTTGAGCCCAGGAATTTGAGACCAGGCTGGGCAACATAGTAGGACCCCATCTTTACAGACAAAGAAATTTAAAAAATTAGGTAGGCTTGGTGGCTTTCAACTGTAGTTCCAGTTACTCAGAAGGCTGAGGCAGGAGGATTGCTGAGCCTGGGAGGTCGAGGCTGCAGTGAACTTTGATCATGACACTGCACTTCAGCCTGGGTGACAGAGTGAGACCCTGTCTCAAAAAAAAATACTGAATAGGCCAGGTGTGGTGGCTCATGCCTGTAATCCTAGCACTTTGGGAGGCAGAGGCAGGCAGATCACTTGAGGTCAGGAGTTCGAGACCAGTCTGGGCAACAGGATGAAACGCTGTCTCCACTAAAAATACAAACATTAGCTGGCTGTGGTGGCGCACACCTGTAATCCCAGCTACTTGGGAGGCTGAGGCAGGAGAATTGCTTGAACCTGACAGGTGGAGGTTATAGTGAGCTGAAATTGTGCCACTGTACTCCAGCCTGGGCAACAGAGCAAGACTCCATCTCCAAAAAAAAAAAAAAAAAAAAATTGAAAAAAAAAAATATATATACACATATATGTAAAAGTGTATATATGTGTATAAATATGTATACATAAATGTATATACATGTGCATATATATTCAAAGTAATTAAAATTAACTGCATTAAAAAATGCAGTTCCTCAAACTAGCCACTTTCAAGTGCTCACTAGCCTCATGTGATCAGTGGCTACTCCACTGAACTGCACAGATGGAGAACGTTTTCATCATCATCTCAGAAAGTTCTGTTCGGGAGCGAGAGCTGACCTTGGGAGCCGAGGCAGGCGGTGCCAGGCATTTCTACCCGGTGAGGTCCATCAGGAAGAGACAGCTAGGTCGGGGTGTGGCGTACCCATAGCACTTTGTGTGTGTCTGAGTGTTCCGGACACACGTCTTCAGCTTGTCAGGGGTGATGTATCTTCTAGAGGCCTCAGGTTGAGGCAGATCAGGAATCTTGACGTTAAACTGCCTTGAAGGATGGAGCGGCCCGGCTATAGACTGAATGGCTGCAGACTCCAGGGCAGCTCTGCCATGAGCTGGTGAGTCTGGCTGAAAACCTGGTTCTACCCGCATTTGGCTGGGGGATTTTGTGGCAAATGACTTCACCTCTCTGGGCCTCAGCTTCCTCCGCTGGAGAATGGAGATAAGCATCACCACCTCACAGGGATGTTGGGAGAACTGGATGCAAGAGGCCCGGCAAACAAGCAACAAATGCCTGTCATTGTTATTATTATTATTGCTGTTGACCTTGTCTTTGGACTTGCCCCATCTCCCACATTGCCCCCACCCCTTGTGACCCTGCTCAAGAGAAGTGTGTTTTCCCTGGAGGGATTTCCAATCCTCCACAGCCTCAATGTTCCTTAATGCCAGGAAGATTTCATGCTGGGTTCATGGGGTCAGAGTACCCTCAGAATCCACCTTCAATCCTTTTTTTTTTTTTTTTTTGAGACAAATTCTCACTCTCTCCCCCAGGCTGTAGTGCAGTGGCACGATCTCAGCTCACTGCAACCTCCGCCTCCCGGGTTCAAGCAATTCTCCTGCCTCAGCCTCCCTAATAGCTGGGACTATAGGCGCGTGCCACCACGACCGGCTTATTTTTGTATTTCTAGTAGAGACGAGGTTTCACCATGCTGACCAGGCTGGTCTGGAATTCCTGACCTCAGGTGATCCACCCACCTCGGCCTCCCAAAGTGTTGGGGTAACAGGCGTGAGCCACCGTGCCCGGCCATTCAATCCTTCCTGCAGTTTTGTAGTTTCCTTGGTCTGTCTCCTGGGGAGAGGTTGTTGCAAACCCAGCAGTTATTTCCAGCCATGGATTAAGCAAAGCCAGCTACTCTGGATTTTCCAGTGGCTGGATTCTACTCCCCCTCTGTCTACTTCCCTCCCTCCCTCCCTCCCTCCCTCCCCCTCTCTCTCTCTCTTCACCCTTTCAAACAAGGACTTCGATTCCTTTTGTATTATTAAAAGAAGAGTCAAGGTTTAATGCAGAACTTTTAGTCAGTACTTAAAAGAGAATACAATTCAAACATGTTACAACAACCCAGACAGAAGTAGTCACTGCTGGTAACAGAGGTCTAGACTTCCATCCTGTCCTGCAGCCTTCATCCGGGCCTCTCCCCAGGCCCAGAGGGCAGGTCGCGATTGGTCCAGCCATCCAGGCGGTCCTATTCTTTTGGCCAGGGATTGGTTAAGCGGCAGGCAGCGCTGGTGAATGAGACCAGAAGAGACGCTGCTGGGTGAGGTTTCTGCTGCTGGGTGAGGTTTCTCGTTCCTACAAAGGCTCACCCAGGTAGGGATGGGCAGCTTCTCTGGGTCTGAGTCTGGATGTGATGCCTGGAATGCAGCAGCCATCTTGGCACCAGAGGGTGATGCCAATATGTGGAGGAAAGCAGAACAAACAGCAGAACAGCAGAACTGGGCCCTGCATGCCGTGCCCGGAGTTGAGCCAGACAATCCAGTTCTTTTTTTTTTTTTTTTTGAAGACGGAGTCTCACTCTTGTCACCCAGGTTGGAGTGCAGTGACTCGATCATGGCTTCCTGCACCCTCCACCTCCCGGGTTCAAGGGATTCTCCCACCTCAGCCTCGAGTAGCTGAGATTACAAGCATGCATGACACGTCTGGCTAATTTTTTTTGTAGAGACAGGGTTTCACTACGGGCTAGTCTTGAACTCCTTACCTCAAGTGATACACCCGCTGTAGCCTCCCATTACAGGCGTGAGCCACTGCGCCCAGCCCATAATTTTTTTTTAAAAGTTAGATTTCAGTAGCATAGGCATTTTCACCACAAGCAATCAGTAACCCAGAGGCTTCTGGGAACTCACAGCTCCTCAAGGTGAGATCATATCGACCTGAAAAGATTCCCGACTCCCATGCAGGAGCAATGCGGAGGGAGGGTGTCCAGTGTTTTAGCCCCTTTATGATCTCCGTTATACCCCGCCCCCACCAAGACTCTGATATGGATAGTTGCGGTTTTCTTAACCTTACTATAAGTTTATAGAACATCTATACCAAAATTCTGGGCCTACTCTCCATTCCTGGCTCTGTGGATCCCAAGGATGCCCCCTTCCTCCAGAAAGAGGTCATCACCTATGTCGCTGGTGGGAACAGAACTCAGCACAACTTCTGGGAGGGTTCATTTGTCAATATCTATCACAATGACAAGAAACAAACTCTTTGGCCCAGCAATTCCACCTCCAGGAGTGTGTCCTACACTCAGGTGTTGACATAAGCTAAATGACAGTGTGCATTGGCCAGGCATGGGGGCTTATGCCTATAAATCCCAGTATTTTAGGAGGCCGAGGCGGGAGGACTGTTTGAGCCCAGGAGTTTGAGACCAGCCTGGGCAAGATGGCAAGATTCCTGTCTCTGAAATAAATAAATAAATAAATAAAATAAATGACAGTGTCTAAAGTTATTCACTACAACATTGTAATAGTAAAAGGCTGGAAATGATACAAACGCCTGTCTTTAGGGGCCTCGTTAAAAAAGCCCTGTAAATCCCTCCCATGGAATATGAGGTGGCTGTAGAACAACTAAGGTTGTAAGAACAACAACTCTGAATTACCAGAAACTGAGCAACAAAAGTAAGGTCCAGGGCGGGCACGGTGGCTCACATCTGTAATCCCAGCACTTTGGGAGGCCGAGGCAGGAGAAGCACTTGAGCCCAGGAGTTCCAGACCAGCCTAGGCAACATAGTGAGATGCCCATCTCTACAAAAATTTTTTAAAAATTTAGCCAGGTGGGGTGGTGCCCACCTATAGTCCCAGCTATTCTGGAGGCTGAGATGGAAGGATCGTGTGAGCCCAGCAGGTCTAGGCTGAAATGAGCCATGATCACGCCACTGCACTCCAGTCTGGGCAACAAAGTGAGACTCTGTTTCTAAAATAAATAAACAAATAATAAATAAATAAAATGTACTATTCAATGGTTTTGCAATTAATTTTCTAAAATTGTGGTTAAAAAGAGATAACAGAAAATTTGCCATTTTAGCTATTTTTGAGTGTATGACTCAGTGGCATTCATTACATTCATAGTGTTGTGTAAAACTGGATATCCACGTGTAAAAGAATGGAGCTGGACCATTACACTCTAAACACAAATTAGAACGGATCCCTCATGTCTTTTTATAACTTCCAGTTTTGGGAAGTTTCTGTACTATCTAATTTTAAAAGTTAGCTTGGCATGGTGAGGGGCACCTGTGGTCCCAGCTACTTGGGAGGCTGAGGTGGGAGGATTGCTTGAGGTCCGGAGTTAGAGGCTACAATGAGCTATGATCATGCCACTGCACTCCAGCCTGGGTGACAGTAGACACTGTCTCTTAAAAAATTTTTTTGGAGAGGAAAAAAAAAACAAAAAAAGACAAGCTGTTCCTAAGGTGCCTGGGAATCCTAGCCCTCACAGCCTTCTTCATTTAGCATCTTGCTTCCATGCCTCCGGTTCCATCCCATGTGGTGATGGTACACATGAAACCCGTCTCCTCCTTCATTTCCACAAGAGACCCCATTGCACACAGCCACTGGAGGTACAATAAATAAGTTTTAATGAGATTTTGGGCGCTGGAGAAAGACAAGGAGCTTATGTGCCACCAAAGCAACCAATGTTCCTTTGTCTCCCCAACTCTGTGGGGTCCCACTGGCCTCATCACCCCTTGAACCCTTTGCCACTGCCATCCTGCTGGTTCGTATCTCTTCCCCACACTTCTCTGTTCCCCTCTCTTCCATCTCTGTCCACAGCAAATCCTCCGTCCCGCTTATTTTCTCTTGCAGAGCAGCTCAGGCTTTGTATTCTCATTTAGCATCTTGGCCCAAGGTCTTTTCTCCCTCAAGGTATTTTCCCAAACAGTTTTCTTTATAAGAGGAATTCTGGTGTCTGCCCTCAAGATCATAGACCTTTTTAAAGTAAACTTATCAGTTGCATCTGAGCAGCTTGGCCTCCTGGGTCTTGGGTCGCATCCATCTTGGTCCTACAGGAGCGTGTCCTGAGCAACTGCAGTGCCGCCTCCCCCTGCATCCCCTCCCCCTGGAGCTGGAAATAGCATTTGCTTCTTTTGTGGGTTATTTCCTGCCAGTCCCAGCTTGCTGGCTGCAGATGCTGGCCGAAAGTGGCTGCAGCTGACTACCTTCTTCAAGTTCATGTCCAGTAGTTGTCTCTGCTCCTTGGACACGCCACAGGCAGCTGCTTGCGGCCTGAGTTGCAGCCTCTGGTGACCAGGGTCAGCGGCTATTTCTTGTAACCACAGAAGTCTGACGGATACAGAGAATTGGAAGCTCAAGGCCAGAGGCCAAATTTTTACCAAAATTCTCTGGTGGTCCACACCCTTCTGTGTGGTCTGCTATGCAGTAGAGGCTTAACCTTGCCCAAACAAAGATCTGGCCCTTTATCCTCAGCTCCTGGGCATTCATCTCCAAGCCCTTGGAATATCCTGCTGGTAGCTGATCTGAGAGTCTTGGGCCACTCTGGGCCACATCATAAATGATGTGATTTATGGTGGGGGTCTTGGGCCACACGGTATTGGCTTGATGTATGAGGTCAGTCATGTGGGTGGTGAGCTGCTTAATTCGGCATTTTGGGAGGCCAAGGCAGAAGTATCACTTGAAGCCAAGAGTTCAAGACCAGCCTGGGCAACACAGGGAGACCTCATCTCTACAAAAAATAAAAAGATTAGCCAGACATGGTGGCACATACCTGTAGTCGTAGCTACTCAGGAGGCTGAGGTGGGAGGATGACTTGGAGTTGAGAAGTCAAGGCTGCAATGAGCTGTGATTTCACCAATGCACTCCAGTGGGCCAACAGAGCCAGACCCTGTCTCAAGACAAACAAAAAACTCTGGACACGAAGATCTCGAGTGAGCTGCTCTGGTTGGCAGTACTTGCATGTCATCACGTGTGTTGCTGTGAGAATCAGGTGCTGCCTCTATGGCTCCACTGGGAGACAGCAGCTGGTAGCCGGCGCCTCATCTCTCCTGGAGTGTGGGCTGTGCACCTCCTCCCTGTGCTGATCTTAATCCCTATCTTTTTACTGTAACAAGCTGTAACTGTGAGCCTAACAGCTTTCCTGAGTCTAGTGAGTCCTTCTAGCAAATGAACGGAGGGTGGTCTTGGAGACCTCTGAACTTGCACCTGCCTCCCTCGTTTTGAGGTCTGGCACAGGGAGGGAGGCTGGTCTCTTTGGAGGGGGTCTTCATCCATTGGGGCGGGGTCCAACTCTGGAGGCCCATGTCCTTGCCAGCTCCAGTCTCTCTCCCTGCTCAGTCCCGACGGTGTCACCTTGTGCCCTCTGTCTGTGGATCCTGGGAAAAGCTGGCCTCTCTGCTCACATCTGAATAGGAGATATACTAGAAGAGGGTTTTCACACTTTAGCCTCAGGGCTCTTTTGAACAAAATCAAACACCTTCCCACCAAAGCCTAATGTGCAAAGAACGGCAGGCCCATCCCCTCCCCTCTCCCTGGAAGCCAGGGCGGTGCTTCTCAAGGTGTGGCCACGGGTGGAATTGAGGCCGGGTTGGGGGACGGTGGATATTAAAATGCAGATTCCCTGGCCCTATCACAGACCAGACTGTCTGGGGCTGCGTCTTAGCAAACTCTACAGCGGATTCTGCCCAGCAGGAAGGGTTGGGAAATGCTGCTTGGGGCACCAGGAGAAAAGACCCAGGCTCTTGCGGGCATCTGGAGACGTCTGGTCTGTAGTCTGTGCAGACCCCACACCCTCCTTAGCTCCAACACTGCACTTACCCCATTAGCCGAGGCGCTGGCATGCTCCTTACCTGGGGAAATAGGAGGGGAAGTCGTCAGGAAGGCATAATGCTGGGAAGCATGGGAAGAAGACATGCCTGGGTGTCAGGGCCCTGAAAATGTCAAGTTCTGCCTCTGCTATTACACACGGGCGCCATTTCCCTTAATGGTATACACGTGTGTGAGACAGGGATGGCGGGGGTGCTCTGTAAGGATCTGGTCATTCAGTTATTCACTTGGTTATTAAATATCCATAAATATCGAGCCTGGCTCTAGAACCAGATGGATGGGTTCAAATTCCATCTCTGTCCTTTAGGAGCTGTGTGAACTTGGACAAGTGACTTAACCTCTCTGTGTTGCAGTTTCCTGGACTATTCAACAGGGGTGTATTTAGCAAATAGTAGTTATTATTCAGCAAATAGTAAATGTCTATTTTGTGCCAGGTACATTCTAAGTGCTGGGGACATAGCTGTGAACAAAAGAGATAAAAATGCCTGTTCTTGGCCAGGCGTGGTGGCTCACGCCTGTAATTCCAGCACTCTGGGAGGCTGAGGTAGGCAGATTGCTGGAGTCTAGGAGTTTGAGACCAGCTTGGGCAACACAGCGAAACTCCATCTCTACTAAAAATATAAAAAATTAGCCAGGCATGGGAGCGCATGCCTATAATCCCAGCTACTCGAGAGGCTGAGGTGGGAGAATCACCTGAGCCTGGGAGGTTGAGGCTGCAGTGAGCCAAGATCACACAACTGCACTACTCCAGTCCGGGCAACAGAGTGAGATCTTGTCTCAAAAAGAAAAAAAAAACAAAAAACAAAAACCAAAAACCTGCTCTTGTGCAGTTTATGTTAATAATAACAATAATAGGGTGGGCGCAGTGGCTCACGCCTGTAATCCCAGCACTTTGGGAGGCCGAGGCAGGCGGATCACAAGGTCAGGAGATCGAGACCACAGTGAAACCCCGTCTCTACTAAAAATACAAAAAATTAGCCGGGCACGGTGGCGGGCGCCTGTAGTCCCAGCTACTCAGGAGGCTGAGGCAGGAGAGTGGCGTGAACCCAGGAGGTGGAGCTTGCAGTGAGCCGAGATTGTGCCACTGCACTCTAGCCCGGGGGACAGAGTGAGACTCTGTCTCAAAAAAAAAAAAAAAAGAGAGATAATAATAGTAACAATAATAGTAATAATAGCAATCACAATCTGGGGTGTGAGAGCCTAGTGGATCCTTGGCCCTGGCTTGGGGGTCAGGGAGGGCTTCCTGGAAGAGGCAGCATCTGTCCGGGATGTGAGGCAGCAGCTTTGTTTAGTGGTTGAGGGAAAAGCTTGGTAGTCAAAGATCTGGCTTCTTCTCTCCATCAACCACTTTCCAGCTGTTTGACCATTAGCAGGTAACTTCATCTGTCAAACAAATATTTCCTCCTCTGTAAAACGGGGCTCATGGGAGAACCACTTTGCTGGGTGCTCCTTGATGAGATTGTACAGGCCAGGTGTGGTGGCTCACGCCTGTAATCCCAGCACTCTGGAGGCTGAGGTGGGTGGATCACCTGAGGCCAGGAGTTCAAGACCAGCCTGGCCAACATGGCAAAACCCTGTCTCTCCTAAAAATACAAAAATTAGCTGGGCACGGTGGTGCGTGCCTGTAATCCCAGCTACTCGGGAGGCTGAGGCATGAGAATCGCTTGAACCTGGGAGGTGGAGGCTACAGTGAGCCAAGATCGCGCCACTGCACTCCAGCCTGGGCGACAGACAGAGAGCCTATCTCAAAAATAAATAAATATATAAATAATAAAAAAAATTAGAAATTGAAATCGAGGGGGTTACACACACAAAGTGGCACGTAGACGGTGCTCAGCAAAGTATTGCTCCTTTGATTACAGAATTAGCTGGCGCACTTCTCCAGAAGGAGGGTGCTCCAGGCAGGGGAACGGCCTGTGCAAATCTCTTGAGGTGTGACAGCATCAGACCCTTTTAGAGCTGAGGATCAGAGGTGCCAGTTCCTGCCAACTTCTCCTAGGAGTCACTCCTGAACAAGGCAGATGGAGTAAGGCTGAGGGGTTAGGCATTATTTCACCCTCTATCCATCTGGCAGGGACTCCCACATCACCTGAATTAAATTTCAAAGTCCCTACCACAGCCTTAAGGCCCTATATGCTCTTCTCCCACTCTGTAAATAAGATTTGTAAATGAACCAGTGAACGAGACTCCCTGGCTCTGCACCGTCATTGGTCAAATGGGGGAAACCTCATGGCAGTGGGGTGATGATTCAGTGAGAAGCACATGGGAAGGACTCAGCACAGAGCCCAGCACATAGTAGGTGCTCAATTATGGCAGCTCTGGTGATGCTCACTCGAGGGAGACAGATGATGGCACCAAAGAAACTCTCGGGAACATCTGGACCGATAGAAATAAAGCCCGATCCCCACGAGGGTCAGAAGAATCACGATTCCCAGAATCAGGAAGATGATGATGTTACTGGACATGCCTGAGTGCTCACTGGGAGGTCCCTCTGAAAGACAAGGAAACAGGTATTTAGGTAAGAAAACTCTTGGGGTTTATCCCTCATTCTTGAAATGGCATCTCAAATTTCCTTGGGGAGCCGCCACTCCACCTGCCTCAGTCTAGTTAATTTAGGTGGACTGGATCCCACCCTCTAGTTCCTAGAATGGTACTTTGACACAGGCCTGGCCAATCAGAATATTCCATTCTCCCTGGCTGCTATGATTGGTTCATAGGTGGGCTGTGGCCTAAGCTGGGCCAATGAGAGCCAGCCCTGGGACTTTGGCTACAGTTATTGAAACTGGTGTGTTTTTTTCTCCTGCTGTTGCTATTGTGGTAGGATGTAAGCCTGTCGCTGCTGAGGGCCATCTTGCTTCAAAGCCTGCCTGGGAATAAAGCCAGTATAACAAAAAGAGACAAGAGATGTACAAAATAAAAGTTTCTGGGTTACATGGTTGGAGCCCCTGGATCTAACCATAAACTGAAGGTGAATTTTCAATACAGTCTTGTTTTGTTTGTTTTTTTGTTTAGACTACTTTGTGTTTCTGTCAATTGCAATTGATAGAGGTCTGCCTAATACATTTGGAAAGGCCTGAGTCCCTGAGAGAGAGGGATTCCACATCTATCCCAACCTGTGTGTGTGGAGGGAGTGTATTCAGGCAGCTGAACAACGGTACCAGTGGTATAGGTATGGAGTTAACAGGGGAGTACAACTGGCCCCACTGGTCCTTTTGTGAGAAGGCTTAGGAGAAGGATGGGAGCCAGAGAGCACTGGAGAGGGAACCCTGCCTCGACCTCTTCCTTTGGTCCCTGTTCTCCCGACCCAGGGAGTTCCTCACCTTTGACCTGGACGGTCAGTTCTGCCTGGCGAGCTCCTAGGGCATTGGTGACGTTGCAGATGAAAGTTGTGTTGATTGGTTTGTCCACAGGACGGATCAGGAGCTGGGCGCCCTGGGCCACAGCGAAGGGTGGCAGGGGACCCATGGTCCTGGGAGTGACAGAAAGGTGAGGAGGTGGCCTCTGCTGCAGGTCCGGAGTGGACAGTGATTGAGCACTCACTGCGTGCCAGGAACCCTCACACCCTCTATGGCATAAGCGGAGAGCAACTCTGGAGGCCCCCCAACTCTTCCCTTCCTCTCATGCCCACACCCAACCCATTAGCCAATCCTGTCGGCCCCGCCTTAAGATCTACCCAGAATCCCACCGCTCCTCAGGGCTTCCAGGGCCACCTCCCTGCTCTGGCGCGGTGCATCCGGGCCCCCAGCAGCCGCCTCCACACTGGGCTCTGTTTCTGCCCTGGCCCCTCATCTTTTCCCCACATGGCCACCAGAGGTCGCCTGTGAACCCTAAGTCAGTTCCCATCCCTCAGCTTCAGTACCCTCTGGCGGCTCAGCCTGACAGAGTTAAACCGAAGTCTTCTCCTGTCACAGGCCCCACGTGATCTGGTCCCTGCTACCTCTGCCCACGTTTGCCATTACTCTCCCCTTTGCTTCAGCCTCTGCATCCACAGTGGCCTCCTTGTTGGTCCTCAAACTCTCCAGTTAGGTGTCCGGTGTGTTTGCTTATGCAGGGACTGATGGATAGAAATGGGTTTGCCCATGCTGTTCCTTCTGCCCGAATGCTTTCCCCCCAGGTACCCACAGAGCTCACCCTCATCTCCTTCAGGCCTCTGCTGGGATGTCACCTTAGTAACACCTCACTTGGCCACCCTATTTCTTTTTTCTTTTTTTTTTTTTTGAGACGGAGTCTCGCTCTGTCGCCAAGGCTGGAGTGCAGTGGCCGGATCTCAGCTCACTGCAAGCTCTGCCTCCTGGGTTCCCGCCATTCTCCTGCCTCAGCCTCCCTGGTAGCTGGGACTACAGGCGCCCACCACCACGCCCGACTAGTTTTTTGTCTTTTTTGGTAGAGACGGGGTTTCACCGTGTTAGCCAGGCTGGTCTTGATCTCCTGACCTCGTGATCTGCCCGTCTCGGCCTCCCAAAGTGCTGGGATTACAGGCTTGAGCCACCCGCACCCGGCCTGCCACCCTATTTCAACTGTGACGATCACCCTTCCCATTCCCTTCTCTCTTTTATTTAATTTATTTTTTTTGAGACAGGGTCTCACTCTGTCACCCAGGTTGGAGTGCAGTGGCGCCATCTTGGCTCACTGCAACCTCCACCTCCTGGGTGTACAGAATCTCCCCACCTCAGCCTCCTGAGTAGCTGGGACTACAGGTGTGTGCCACCACACCCGGCCAATTTTTGTATCTTTTTTGGTAGAGATGGGGTTGTGCCATGTTGGCCAGACTGGTCTCGAACTCCTAGCCTCAAGTGATCCTCCCATCTCTGCCTCCCAAGGTGCTGGGATTACAGGCATGAGCCACGACACCCCAGTCCCATTCCCTTCTCTGCTTTATCTTCTCCATGTATTTATCACCATTGCATACACACTACACACTTTATGACTTTATCTTGCTTCTTGTTTCTTTCACCATTATAATGGAAGCTCCATATGGGGAGGAAATTTGGTCTGTTTTATTGACTCGCATATGTTGGTTAGTTGCACCTGGCTTACTTACTACAGTAAGCAGTCAAGAAATACTGGTTTAACGAACAGAGGTGGAGGAGATGGAAGCATTGGGCTTTGGGCACTCTGCAGAGCTGGGATGCAAACGCAGCCATCCGGATCAAGAGCCTGAATTGTGGCACTTTGAGGGCAGGACAGTAAAGGCACCGTCATACCAATCGAAAACCTTTGACCAGCAATTCCTTCCACTGACAACTGCTGACAAGTGACCACTGGGGATGGTCACCACCATGGCATATGCAGAGTTGAAAATGGAAAATGACATCTGTGTCCTCTACTGGGGACTGGTTAAATAACTGATGTCATCCACATATGTTGGAATCCCTTCCCTGCCCTTTGGGAGGCCCAGGCGAGAGGACTGCTTGAGTACAGGAGTTCAAGACCAGCCTGGGCAACATAGTGAGATCCTGTCTCTATTCTTAAAATTTTTTTTTTTAATTAAAGTGATGGAATCCCAGCAACATTGAAAAGGGGCCAGGTTAGCCAGGCGTGGTGGTGTGTGCCTGTAGTCCCAGCTATCTGGGAGGCTGAAGCTGGAGGATCACTTGAGCCCAGGAGTTCAAGGCCTGCAGTGAGCTGTGATTGTGCCACTGCATTGCAGCCTGAGCAACAGAGTAAGGCCCTGGTCTCAAAAAACAAACAAACAAACAAACAAACAAACAAAAAACAGGGGATCTGGGGGTGCTCTGAAGTGCATAATATGATTGATGGATGAATGAGGACCGAAGGAATCACAGAAACATGATAAAGCAAGCACAGTAAAATGTATTAGGGAGTTCACGTGGTGGAATCTTAAGTGTTCACTGGAAAATTCCTCGATTTTTCTGTAGGTTTGACAGTCTTCCTAATACAACGTGGGGGAAAATGGAGTGTGGATCTCTGTGCTTTGACATGGGAAGATATTCACAAGATACAGGAAAAAGTTTCATAATATTATATGTATATGCATAATTCCAGTCTTTGTTAGAAACAGAGAAAAAAAGACAGAAGGATGTATATATAAGTGGTCACTGGGTATTTCTGGAGGTGGCTGGGTACACTTGACTAATAGGTGCTTCTTTATTCTTTTTTCTCATAACTAATTTAGTTGATATTTCTACAGTGGACACAAGTTACTTTGTAATAAGGAAAAAGATGTAAGGGCTGGGCGAGGTGGCTCACACCTGCAATCCCAGCCTTTGGGAGGCTGAGGTGGGTTGACTGTTGAGCCAGGGGTTGGAGACCAGCCTGGGTAATGTGGTGAAACCCTGTCCTCTGCAAAAAATACAATGAAATTAGCTGAGTATGGTGGTGTGTGCCTGTAGTCCCAGCTACTCAGGAGGCTGAAGCGGGGAGGATCACCTGAGCCCAGGGAGGTCCAGGCTGCAGTGAGCTATGATCACACCCGCTGCACTCCTAGCCCTGGGCGACAGAGCCCCCTTCTTAAAAAAAAGAAAAAAAGGCGGTTCAGTAAATTTGTATTATAAAATTTTGTATTATCCCTTTGCTGTTTTCTCATCCTGCTCTTGACCCCAGTTTCAGTATGAATCTGGAGAAATCTTATTGCTGTGAGCCTCAACTTCTCATCTAGACAATGGGGATAGTACTTGCTCCATCCAGAGATAACCAAGTAGGTTACACAAGGTGATGGTGAGGTGGTTACAGTCTAGCGTGGGGGTGTCAATCTTTTGGCTTCCCTGGGCCACACCGGAAGAAGAAGAACTCTCTTGGCCATACATAAATAACACTAACACTAATGATAGCTGATGAGCTAAAAAAAAATGCAAAAAAAAAATCTCATAATGATTTAAGAAAGTTTACAAATTATGCGGCCTGCAGGTTAGACAAGCTTGGCCAAGAGGCGGAGGACCAGCTTTGGAGCCAGGGCTGATTCAAGGGCCGCTTCTGCCCTCTCGTGGCTGGTCTTTAACCTGGGCATGACAACAGCTGCTGACTCTGCACAGCATGGGTCACGTGGGATTCAAGGGGAAGTACCGGGCACAGAGCAGGCACACCCCAAGAGCAGGTGCATCCACCAGCCAGGATTAAACCACCTGCTAAACGCCTCAACTGGAAAACAGAGATGTCAAAACAGAGATGCCCCCCCATTGGGGGGACCCCGAAGTCAACCTCCTCTTTTTTTCTTTTCTGAATCCCCCTGCTCTCTTAGACCAGGATTCCAGGCCCCTAGCCTCTCCTCCTCAGACCCAGGGGTCCAGGTCCAGCCCCTCTCCCTCAGTCCCAGAAGTCCAGGCCCCCAGCGTCTCCTCCCTCAGACCCACAAATCCACACCCCCAGGCCCTCCCCCCTGAAACCCAGGACTCACGTGCCTCCAGTTGTAGCCTGTGGGCTCTGGGGTTGCTGCGAGCGTCGCAGGTCAGGGTGGCCTCATTCTGGCTGAGGTACCAGTTGTTATCATAGCCAGAGATGGATACCTCTGGGGGGTCTGCAGGAAATGACACAGAGGTTCAGAGACAGGGAGACTTGGGGAGGCCGAGGGCTACGTGGGATTCACATCACTGCAGGAAGAGGCCTGGGGATATTTGGAAAACAGCGGGAGCTGCAGAGGCCTAGGAGTCGTCTAGGGAGATGGGGTGCCGCAGAGAGCAGAAGCCTGGGAGTCTGTGGTCAGTGGGACATGGAGAGGGCTTCTGAGGACCTGCTTTTCTCCACTAGCTTTCCTGGTGGCCCGGACCAGGCATGTCTTGGGTGTCCTGTGGGAAAAGGCCTCCTCCTTTTCTCACTCATAGGCATGACCACTCATAACACACGGCAGTGTATTCAAGGCTCCCGACAGTCCTGTGGGAAAGAGTCCTGGATAACCCTGCTCTAGTGCTGCTGCTCAGCCATCCCCGATGTGATTTCAATGTCCTCAGGGGCAGGCCAATGAGACAGGGTTTTTTGGGGGGCGAGGGGTAGGAGTCAGTGTAGATCTCCTCCTCGCTTAGACCCAGTGACAGTGTTGAGGGACTCCAGGATAGACAGTGCCTGAGGGAATCTGTGTACCACTTGCCTGGCGGGGGGAGTAGGCAGTATAGACAATGATGGGAGGAACAGTATGAATGATGCCTAGAAGAGCTTGTGTGGATATTACTGGATGGGCTCAGTGTAGACAGGATATTGGAATATTACAGTAGATGCTACATTGTCAGGCCAGTGTTGAAAATGTAGTGGTGGGGGGTGAGATCACCCCACCCCAGGAGCTGGTGAAATTAAACAGGCCCCTGTGTGTGTGTGTGTGTAGACAGTATTTGGATGAGCCAGTGTAGACAATGTGGGAGCTTAGCCTAGATCTGCACTGTCCAATGTGGCACCTACTGGCCACATGTGACCATTGAGCAAGCGAAATATAGCCAGGCTGAAATACACACCAGATTTCAAAGGCTTTACTAGGGCAAATCAATGGGAAAGATCTCAAGAATAATTAAAAAAAACAATTACAAGTTGAAATAATATTTTGGGTATATTGGGCAATTATTAAAATTAACTTTGGCCAGGCTCATGCCTATAATCCCAGTACCTTGGGAGGTTGAGGCAGGAGGATCGCTTGAGCCTAGGAGTTTGAGACCAACCTGGGCAACATAGGGAGATCCTGTCTCTATAAAAAATAAAAATAGGCTGGGTATGGTGACTCATGTCTGTAATCCCAGCATTTTGGGAGGCCAAGGTGGGTGGATCATGAGGTCAGGAGTTTAAGACCAGCCTGGCCAACGTGGTGAAACCCCGTCTCTGCTACAAATACAAAAATTAGCTGGGCACTGGTAGCCAGGGCTTGTAATCTCAGCTACTCAGGAGGCCGAGGCAGGAGATCGCTTGAACCCGAGAGGCGGAGGCTGCAGTGAGCGCCGAGATCGTGCCACCTGCACTCTAGCCTAGGTGACAGAGCAAGACTCCGTCACACACACACACACACACCACACCGAAAATTAGCTGGGCATGGTGTCACATGCCTGAGTCCCAGCTACTCAGGAGACTGAGGCTGAGGTGGGAGGATCATTAAGCCAAGAGATTGAGGCTGCAGTGAGCTGTGCCACCGCACTCCAGTCTGGGTGACACAGTAAGACCCCGCCTCAAATAAATTAAATAGATAAATAAATAACAAATACATTTCATCTCTTTCTTTCTTTTTTTGATTTTGAGACCAGAGTCTTGCTCTGTTGCCCAGGCTGGAGTGCAATGGCGTGATCTTGCTCACTGCAACCTCGGCCTCCCTGGTTCTAGCAATTCTCCTGCCTCAGCCTCCCGAGTAGCTGGGATTATAGGCACCTGTCACCATGCCTGGCTAATTTTTGCATTTTTTGAGACCAGCCTGGCCAACATGGTGAAACCCGTCTCTGCTACAAATAGAAAAATTAGCTGAGGCAGGTGGCTCACTTGAGGTCAGGCTGGTCTGGAATGCCTGACCTCAGGTGAGCCACCTGCCTCAGCCTCCCAAAGTGCTGGCGTGAGCCACCGTGCCTGGTCTCTTTCTTTTAACTTTTTAATGGGGTGGCTGCTGGAGAATTAAAAATCCTATATGCGCTTGCGTGCTATTTCTGTTAGACAGCACTGGTTAGAGAGTCCCTGGGGCTGTCAGTGGAGATAAACGTGTGGGTGTCAATGTCGATGACGCCGTGAGGAGCTGCTGGAGGTAACGCCGTGCAGGAGAACCAGGACAGATGCTGTCAGGGGCCGTGCAGACAGAACACAAGGAGGCCAGTGTGGTGATGTGGGGCGAGACTCAACAGCCTGTAAGTGAGCCAGTGTAGACAACACTGGGCAGAGGAGCATGGAGACTACACTGGGGGACTCTGCAGACCCTGCTGAGGGGAGCCAGCACAAACAACGTGGGAAGATCAATGCAGCCAGCACCCGGCAGAGATGGTCGATCATGGCTCAGGGGAACTGGTCGATACAATGTGGGAGGTGAATGCAGACAGTTCTCCAGGGAGTCAGTGTAGACAGTGTCGAGGGGCACTTTAGAGAGTGCCTAGGAGAACCAGTGTAGAAAAAGTGGGGTGTTTATGTAGACAGTGGTCACAGGAGCCAGTGTAGACACCATGTGAGACAGTGAAAACACCCCACAGCTGATGGCCGAAATAGCTGGTGTAGACAATGGGGATAGTGCTGTCTGTGGCCCAGAAGAGCCAATGTAGACAATGGTAAGGCAGTGTAGAAAATGGACAAGAGGCCAGGTGCAGTGGCTGACGCCTGTAATCTCAGCACTTCGGGAGACTGAGGCGGGAGGATCACTTGAGCCTAGGAGTTTAAGACCAGCCTGGGCAACATAGCAAAACTCTCTCTACAAAAAATTGTAAAATTAGCTGGGCATGGTGGCTGTACCTGTAGTCCCAGTTACTTGGGAGGCTGAGGGGGGAGGATCACTTGAGCCTGGAAGGTTGAGGCTGTAGGAGCCATGCTCATGCCCCTACACTCCAGCCTGGGTGACAGAGTGAGACCCTGTCCAAAGGTAAAAAAAAAAAGGCCGGGCATGGTGGCTCATGCCTGTAATTCCAGCACACTTTGGGAGGCCGAGGCAGGCAGATCACCTGAGGTCAGGAGTTTGAGAACAGCCTGGCCAACATGGTGAAACCCTGTCTACTAAAAATACAAAAATTAGCCAGGTGTGGTGGCATGCACCTGTAATCCCAGCTATTTGGGAGGCTGAGGGAGAACCACCTGAACTTGGGAGGCAGAGGTTACAGTGAGCCGAGACTGTGCCACTGTACTCCAGCCTGGGTGACAGAGTGAGACTTTATTTCAAAAAAAAAAAAAAGAAAGAAAGAAAGAAATGGACAAGGGAGTGGGTGTAGACAAGAAGGGCGGCAGTGCTGATTGTGGCCAGGAGAACCAGTGTAGCAATGTGGGGAAAGTCATTGTGGATAGTTGCCTGGGGAAGCAGGTGCAGGCAGTTTGGGGGCAGTGTAGACTGTGCTCAAGGGAGTCAACAGAGTGTGGGGTATCCGTGCAGACAGTGGCTAGAAGAGCCAGGGCAGACAATCTGGGTACCAGCATTGACTATGGGCCGAGTAAACTGGTGTAGGCAATAGGGACAGTGCTGTTTATGGCCCAGGCGAGCTGGTGCAGATAATGGGGGTGGGTCGTGTAGACAGGAGTCAGGGGAGCCATTGCAGATGAAGGAAGCAATGCCTACAGTGCCTTGGGGAGTAAGTGTAGACAGTGGTAGGGGCAGCCTGGCAGGGATCTTGCCGTCACTGACTCGGGCACACTTACAGTAGACGGTGAGGTTCACAGTCAGCAGCTGAGGCTTCTCAAAGCTCTCGTGCTCCACCTTGCAGGTCACACTCTTGCCGTCCACCTGGCTTGAGGGCACCAAAATCCAGAGGCTGGTGACAGTGACTGTGCCAGACAGGAACCCTGGCGCCTGGCTGGTATTGGGCATCCCGCCCAGGTCTGAGTGCCAGGTGATGTGGGCCGGCGGGCGACCCCCTGTGGAGACGCAGCGGGCCACGGGCACCGGTTTTCCAGTGAGCTGGACCTTCTGAACCTCAGCTGTGTTCTGGGGCTTGGCTGGGAAGAGGAACAAAAGCAACAGGTCATTCAATGAACCCCTCCGTGGTAGAAGGAGGCATTCATTAAGGGTACAGGATGGCATGGTGGCTGGGTGGGGTGGCTCATGCCTATAATCCCAGAACTTTGGGAGGCTGAGGTTGGTGGATCGCTTGAGGTCAGGAGTTCGACACCAGCCTGACCAGGGGAAACTGTCTCTACTAAAAATGAGCCAGGTGTGGTGGCACACACCAGTAATCCCAGTTACTTGGGAGGCTGAGGCCAGAGAACTGCTTGAACTTGAGAGGTGGAGGTTGCGGTGAGCTGAGATTGTCACTGCTCTCCAGCCTGGGCAACAGAGCGAGAATCTGTCTCAAAAAAAGAAAAAGAAAAAAAAAAAAAAGATACAGGATGGCATGGTTTAAACCCCTGCTGTGTCCCTGAGCAGCTGGGTGGTCTTGGGCAAGTCTGTGCCTCAGTTTCCTTGTCTGTTGACAGGGGTAGTGATGGCACCATAGGCAATAAGAATATGCAGGTGAAGCTGTCAGAATGGCACATAGTAAGTGCTCCATAAATACTGTTTGCTGGAAAGTGCTGGGGCCCAGCAGTGACCAAAATAGCCCTGGTTCTGCCCTCATGGGTACAGTCCAAGGGGGCAGACAGACTCTTTCCTAGGCAGTGATGACTCGGAGAGGGCAGGGCTGGGAAGGGGAAACCCAAAGGGGATTATGCTAGTCTGGGGCTCAGTGGAGGAGAGGAAGCCTGAGCCCTGAAGTTGAGAAGGGAAGTGACTTGCCCACGGTGACACAGCTGTAAGCAGCAGAGCTAGGCTTTCACATAAGGTCTGTCTGACTCCAAAACCACCTTGACCATCTCTTAATCATCATCCTGGTGATTCCCAAACCTGGAACTTGCTTCCCCATCATTACCTGTATTATTTACCGGAAGATTTCTCCTTAACTGACTGCTGTTTCTGTTTTACCCTCATCCTAAACCATGACACCTGGAATCCCAGGCTTGCTGGAGCTACAGAGCTGCCTGTGGTCGGGTGTTGTGTGCCAGGCACAGTTCCAAGCCCTTGACATTTCATGAGTTTCTCATGCACAGGCCTGGAATAGTTCTTGGCACATAGCTTAAAAAAACCAAACCAAACCAAACTAAACAAAACAAAAACAAGTTGGGCGTGGTGGCACATTCCTGTAATTCAGCTACAGGAGGGTAGGAACATCCCTTGTGCGCAGGAGTTCCAGGCTGCAGTGAGGACCTGCTGTGACCACACCACTGCACTCCAGCCTGGGCGACAGAGCTAAACTCTGGCTCAAAAAAAACAGGGTCAGTTTTCTTGAATCCTCATGGTGATCCCCATCCACAGATGAGGAAACTGAGGCACAGAGATTTCTTGCTCAAGTTCCAAGAGGAGGGCCTCATGGAGCTCATGAAAATGAAAGCAGATCCCTCCTCTTTTGGGTATCAGGATCCTTGCTTTCCTGTCTGTCTGTTTCAATTTCTCCTTTTTCACCAAATAAAGTAACAGTAACTGACAGCTCTAAGGGGTCACATGGGCCAGCGGTGAAGCTCTAAGGCTGCACCGGGACACTGAGGACAGCTTTCCAAGGGTGATACTATTGTCACAACCCTTTTACAGATGAGGAAAGGAGGGGCCCAGAAGAGGCCACCCAGGCCTCCTCCCTTCCTTTTGGGTCCCCTCCCAGCTCCCTTTCCAATACACACCTCCCTCTCCCTAAGGCCTTCTTTTTTTTTTTTTTTTTTTTTTTTTTTTTTTGAGGAGTCTCGGTTACCAGAGGCATGCGATTAGCTTGAAGTCGCCCGGGTCAGCTTTCCGTGCCCCGGAGGGACTACACTGATCCCTAGGTTTTTTTTTTTTAGTAGACTTCCCTTTAGGATGTCTCGATCCGATGTATGCTCTGGCCTCCAGGCTGTACAGGCTGGCCCCCGGCCTAGCCTCTCGAGGGGGGGCCTACCCAGAGATCCTGCCCTCCCTGCAGCCTCCCCCCATTGCTCCACCCACCCATCATTGCGCTGCCCCTCCTTTTGTCCCCAGGGAATCTGCTGTGGAGGGAATCCCCCTCCCTCCCAGGCCTCCCCACTCTTTGCTGACTTCCTGATCCTCCCACCAAGTCTCCACCTTTCATTCAGACTCCCCAAAGCCCCGGCTCACCAAGCACTCGGAGCCAGATATCACGCTCCTGCTGCCCTGTGGGAACGCGACGAACAGGCAGGTGTAGTTGCCTTCATCCTCGACACGCACCCGAACATCCTCAGCGAGGCATCCCGGAGCTCTGTGCCCAGTCTGGCAGCCACGAATTCCAGCCGTTTGGGCTCCGAATAGTTGGGGCCCTGCGTTTGGTGGAAGACGGCCATGCTGCCGGATCACCATGCCGCGACCAAGTCAGCTGTGACACGTGAGTCTCCTCCATGCCGGGCACCTGTAGGTAGCAGGGCAGCGTCACGGAGTCGCCCAAGAAGCCGGGCACCTGGGTGGGCGCCTGCACGACGATGTCCCCTGCGGAGAACCGAAGAGAAGGTGTCAGACCGGGGCGTTCCTGGGCTAGATAGTGAGGGGCTCGGGAGCCCAGGCACCTGGGCGTGCAATTGCACGCTGGGGCCCTGGAGACCTGGTGGACGGTGGGGTGTGGGGGGAGGGGGGACTGGGGCACTAGTTGGGGTCAAGGCAGGCGAGGAGGTAAGGGCGTCCGGGATGGTCTGCAACTTGGCCGTGTTCCTTCACTTTGGCTATTTATTACTATATTTCTTCTATTATTACCGTATTTCCCTTAATCTCAACATCACTGATTTAAAAATTGTGGTAATATTGTGGTTAAAAAACTAAATTTACCATTTAAGCCATTTAAAGCATACAGTTCAGTGGCACTACGCACATTTCACAGTGTTGTGCAACCGTCACCATTATACAGCTCCAGAACTTTTTCTTTCTTTTCTTTTTTTGAGACGGAGTCTCGCTCTGTCGCCCAGGTGGAGTGCAGTGGCATGATCTCTGCTCATTGCAAGCTCTGCCTCCGGGGCTCAAGCGGTTTCCTGCCTCAGCTTTCTGAGTAGCTGGATGACAGACTCCCACCACCACACCCGGCTAATTTTTTAATTTTTTTTTAGTAGAGATGGGGTTTCACCATGTTGGCCAGGCTGGTCTTGAACTCCTGACCTCAAGTGATCCTCCTGCCTCGGCCTCCCAAAGTGCTGGGATTACAGGTGTGAGCCACCGCACCTGGTCCAGAACTTTTTCATCACACCGGTGTCGTAGCTTTCACATACCATGACTGTCGTTATTTACAGCACAATTGCCATTAGGGTTAGAATACCCCCAATGTAGAAAATGGGGAGAAATCCTGGATCTTCAAATCCATGAAAGGCTGTATTATTACTCTGGGTGGATCCTGGTTGGAAGAATGTGGGGGATCGTGGCACAAGAGGAAGGCAATTATAGTGAGGCTTCAGGCCGGTTACTTAACTGTCTGATTCTTTTTCCTAGTTTGTACAATGAGACTTAGAATAGTGCACACTCACAGGGCGCTGACACATTCAGGGCCTATTCTGGGTGCTTCACATATATCTTGGCATTTAATCCTCAAATAGCCCCTGAGGCCAGCACTACTGTTAACATCATTTTACAGACAGGGAAACTGACACAGAGTATAGCGTCCTCCAAGTCATACAGAGGTTTAGTGGCAGAGGTGGGATTTGAACTCAGGTGGTCAGAGACTGACCTCTAATCCCCCAGGTCCTATATAAAAATCTTTCTGCTAAGGGCCCTAGCACATAGTAGGTCCTCAACATGTGTCAGTGCTTATTGACACTAATAAACATAGTCTTATGCATTCTTTTTTATTTTTTAATTTTTTTAATTTTTATTTTTTGTGTGTGTGCGGTATTTATTTCAAATGTTTGTTAAAACAGCACTGTTATTTCTCAGGACAAGAGCAAAGATCACCCCCTGCAGAAGCTTGGGAACTATGTACAGAACTTTATAGAACAAAGGCAATACTTTAGCTTAAGCCTGTCTGCTGATCAGAGAATGGAATTCTGCGTGGACTCAAGGAACAAAAGGAAACTAGGCAGGAGAGGGAAGAAAAGTGCCCATCTGAATCAAACTTCAGCCGCTATCAGGGCACATCTTCTGGTGGTCACAGATTGTAGGCTGTTTTTTGGAAGATTCGGGTTCAGCACAGGATTCCATTTGTCTACTTGGCTATACCCCGGCTGAGGTGCCATGGGGTCGATGTCACTCCAGTTCCTGGCCAGCCAAACTCCGGCTGCAAAGAGTCCCAAATTTAGTATCAAGTTCCTCCAGAAGTCATTCCTATCAGTGGCAAAGCGGTATACGCCCCAAAGCCAATCTCCCACGTTGTCCGGTATTTTGGGAGTTTCGTTAGCCGAGCCAGCAGCGCTCACCTGGACCCCACAGGAAGCCATAGTAGCAAGCTTCGCATGGGCCTCAGTGGAGGTTTCTTTTTTATTTTTAAATTTTTATTTAGCTAATTATTTTTGTAGTGATGGGGTCTTGCCATGTTGCCCAGGCTGGTTTTGAATTCCTAAACTCAAGTGATCCTCCCACCTCAGCCTCCCAAAGTGTTGGGATTACAGGCATGAGCCACTGTGTTTGGCTGCAATCAGCCTGGGCAGCATAGAGAAACCCTATCTCTAACAAAATACAAAAAATTAGCCAGGTGTGGTGGTGAGCACCTATAATCCCAGCTACTCCAGAAGCCACAGTGAGGGATCACTTGAGCCTGGGAAGTCCAGGTTGCAGTGAGCCAGGATGGTGCCACTGCACTCCAGCCTGGGCAACAGAGCAAGACCTTGTCTCTCTCTCTCATACACACAGATACACAATAAATATATATATACACACACACAAAATATATAAATACATAAAATATATATTATTTATTTACTCATTAAATGTACAATAAAATATATTTTCTTATATAGATAACATGTATGTTATAAATATATTTAATATTTACTAAGAGATATATTGTACATTATGATATAATATATTATTATTTATATAATACATAATATATATATTTATCAGGAGACCAGCCTGGCCAACATGGTGAAATCCTGTCTCTGCTAAAAATACAAAAATATTAGCCAGGCATGGGTGGCACATGTCTGTAATCGAGCTCCTCGGGAGGCTGAAGCAGGAGAATCGCTTGAACCCGGGAGGAGGAGGCAGCAGTGAGACAAGATCAGGACATTGCACTCCAGCCTGGATGATGGAGTGAGACTGTCTCAAAATTAAAAAAAAAAAAAAAAAAAAATGAATGAATGGCCAGTCCCTTGGAGTCAGACATTGGGGGTCAGAGGGGTAACGGTGTCAAGTGTCACCCACTGTCCGCCTCCCCAACTTCAACCATCCTCTCCGTCCAGACCCAGCCCGCCAGCAGGCTGCTGGGTTATGGCCTGGGTGTGCTGAGCAGGAACCTGGGTAAGGTAATCCCGCATGAGTCACCATCTGCTGATTTTCCGAGATTCTCTTGCCTTTTTGGGAAATGTCCGCACCCAACTCCATCCCCTTTCCGAGGGGCCCAGAGGAGGGTCTTGTGCCCACCCTGTGTTGCTGCCAATTTCGAGGAAGTCCTAAACCCAACTCCGACCGCTCTCCGGATGGCTACGAGGAGGGTCCTGCCCTCGCCCCGTGTTCCTTCAAACCCCGGGGCAGAGATGGGGGGTGGGTGGCGCCGGGCGGCGCCGTCATCTTCGGGGACCCAAGGGGCCAAATACCCGGCTTGGATCCGGAGCTGGAAGCGAGAGAGGGGCCGCCGGACTGCGCGGAGGTCACTCACCGGTTCCTGGGGGTGGCCAGGACAGCACCAGTAGCGCCAGCAGCAGCGGAGGCCATGCGGCGGCCATGGTTCGGGCCATGCCAGTTGCTCCGGACAGCTGGGCCTCGGGCGGACACCTCCTTCTCGCTTCCCGGCGCCGCTCGCTCTGCCGCGGCCGCTGCGAGTCCAGCCCCCGGAGCTCAGGTCCTGGAATCCCCGGGGGGCCGCTCCGTCAGTGCCTGGAGTGGGAAGGGGAATACCCACTTCTTCAAATTCCAGACCAGGGAGCCGAGGGAAGTTGGCGGCGAGTCCCCTCAGGCGCGGGGGCGTCACCCAGGCTGCGCCCCCCCCCACGTCCCGGCGCGCCTGCGCCTGCGCAGGTCTCTCCGGGCGCTCAGTCCCGCTACAGACGCGCGCTCGCTCCCTCAGCGCGCTCTAGAAGAGGCGGCTTCCCGTGTGAGGACGCCCACATCCCAGGTGAGGAAACGGAGGCACGCGAGAGATTCAGCAGCTTACTAACGACTCGCGGTTGCCGAGTGGCAGAGCTGAGGTTTCAACTCGTGATGGGACAGATCCTGAGCCCGCCAGGCTGTCCTTCCACCCAGCCTAAACCCATGGGCTTTGGGGTCAGACAAGACCTGGGCTCATGTTGAGCAAGTGGTTTCTCCTCGAGGGCCCTCAGATTCTTTATCTGAAAAATGGGCATAGTAGGGCGCGGTGGCTCAGCAATTTGGGAGGCTGAGGCGGAAGGACTGTGTGAGCCCAGGAGTTAGATGCTGCGGTGAGCCACCCTCGCGCCACCGCACTACAGCTTGGGTAACAGAGCCAGACCTGTCTCAAAAAAAAAAAAAAAAAGGTTGGGGGCTGGGGCGCAGGCGCAGTGGCTGACCCCTTTAATCCCAGCACTTTGGGAGGCCGAGGCAGGAGGATCAGCTGAGGTCAGGAGTTCAAGGCCAGCCTGGCCAACATGACACAAACCCATCTTTACTAAAAATACAAAAATTAGCTGGCATGGTGGCACATGCCTATAATCCCAGCCACTAAGGAGTCTGAGACAGGAAAATCACTTGAACCTGGGAGGTGGAGGTTGCAGTGAGCCAAGATCAGGCCTCTGCACTCCAGCCTAGGTGACAGAGCGAGACTCTGTCAAAAAAAAAAAAAAAAAGCAAAAAGGGCATACAACGTGGTCTGTAAAGCTTAAACAAGGAACTGCTTAGCTCAATTTCAGGGATATAGTGTGTAATAAATAAAAAGCAGATATACCAACAATAGCAGCAGTGGCAGTGACAATTATTGTTATTGTTGCTTTACAGTTGCCATCAAATAATAATGTTCATGAGAATGGTAATTCATTCATTCTTCACTCAACGTGTATTTATTGAGCCAGTCAGTATCCCAGGCGCTGGGGATACAGCAGAAAATATGACAGACAAAAATCTCTGCCTTTAATGAAGACCATGTTCTGGTGGAGGGAAACAGACCATAAACAGATTAATACCAGAACTCCAGCAGGTCTGGGGGAGATAAGGGTTATAGACCAACCTGCAGTAGGGAGAGGCGAGGAGGGTGGGAGGAAGGGAGGGGGAGAGAGAGAGAGAAATAGAAACAGAGAGACACACTCAGAGATAAGGGCTGGGAGACAGAGATAGAGAGAGATTGAAAGAGATAGAGACACAGCATAGACAGAGCGAGATGAGATTGAAATGAGAGGTGACAGAGAGACTCAGAAAGTCAAACCCTAAGAGAGAGAACCCAAGAGACTTCCTGGTCCCCAGAGGTGTCTGTCCTGGCCAGGGTCTCCATGAGGCTGACTAACAGCTCTTGTCCCTGTTCTCTGACATCCTTATATCCTTTTTATTTTTGTTTTTTTTTAGACAGGGTCTCACTATTTCACTGAGGCTGGAGTGCAGTGGCGCCATCATTGCTCATTGCGGCCTCCACCTCCTGGGCTCAATTCCCTCAGCCTCCTGGGTAGTTGGGACCATGGGCATATGCAATCACGCCCAGCTAGTTTTTAAATTTGTTGTAGAGACAGGGTCTTGCTATGTTGCTCAGGCTCATCTTGAATTCCTGGCCTCAAGCGGTCCTCCCACCTTGGCCTCCCAAAGTGCTGGGATTACAGGCATGAGCCACTGTGCCCGGTCCCACATTCCTGTATCTTTTTGTAAAATCTCTCCTTTGGCTTTTGGCTGGCTTGAAGCTTTCTTTCCCCGGGTGCCCTCTCTAACTTAGATCTGATTCTTGTGTATGACACATCTGATGCTTGGGGTCTCTCACCCTGGATGTATGTAGGTGAATTTCTAAATGGAAACATGGAGGCTGGTCTCTTGGAAATCTCTGAATTTTCTGTCACTCTTGTTCTGCTGAGTTATTTCCAAATTGGGAATCTGTGGCCATTGTTATGTTCCTTCTCTGGACGATGCCATCACCATCTGGGGTTCCCCTACCTCTCTGGGCTCCCCAGTTCCTATCTCCAGGGCCTCCTCTCAGGGCCCTGGAGGGTCAGAGGCTGCTCTGAAGAAGCAGGCTTTGAAGAAAAAGCAAGTTTGGTTCGGGGCATATCTGCTTGCTTCTGTGTTTCTCTGTCAAGAGTCTAAATTCCTTGAGTGTTTGGACCAGACATTTTCTTCACTCAAGTGCTGAAATATCATCTGAAAAAATAGTGAATGGAGATCTCTAATGGGCATCCTATTTTTTGTGTGTTTGTTAGTTTGTTTGTTTTGAGACAGAGTCTCGCTCTGTCTCCCAGGCTGGAGTACAGTGGCGTGATCTCAGCTCACAGCAGCCTCCGCATCCAGGTCAAGTGATTCTTGCGCCTCAGCCTCCCAAGTAGCTGGGATTACAGACCTGCACGACCATACCCAGCTAATTTTTTTGTGTTTTTTAGTAGAGACGGAGTTTCACCATGTTGGCCAGGCTGTTCTCGAACTCCTGAGCTTAGGTGATCCACCCTCCTCAGCCTCCTGAAGTGCTGGGATTACAGGCGTGGGCCACAACACCCAATGGGCATCCTCTTGATGCTGTGGTTTTCAAACTTCTGGATCCAAAAGGATCATCAAGAAACTTGTGTAATTAAGCAAATATGAATCCATTTCCTTATTCTTCCCTCTCCCATTAAAAAATAAAATGGTGGCATTGTTCTCTTTCTGTTTTTCACTTAGCAACATATCTTGTTATTTTCCCATAGGCAGATATATTGAGCTACCTCATTCATTCATTCATTCATTCACAGATGTGTAGTATTCCATTACATGAATGCACCATCATTTTTGAAACTGTCTTCAGGGGATGGGCTTTTTTGGGTGTTTCCAGCCCTTTTGTACTTGCAAACTGTGCTTCCCTGGGTCATCATGTCCATGGCATTTCCCATGTATGTGACAGTATCTGTCATATTTATTCCCAGAAGCTGATTTCCTGGGCCACAGGGCATGCACGTTTGTGGTCTAGAGGATATTGCCAAATTGCCGTCCAGCAACCATGCCAGCAAAGTAAGGGCGTGGAGTGGCTTCTACCCAGGAATACTCACGGCAGTTGGGGAAGGTTTAAAAATTTCAGATATGCCCCCACCCCCTGTATCTCTACAAAAAATTAAAAATATTAGCCAGGCGTGGTGGCACATGCCCATAGTCCCAGCTACAGCTACTTGGGAGGCTGAGGCTGGAGGATCGCTCAAGCCCCGGAGTTTGAGGCTGCAGTGAGCCATGATTGCACCACTGCACTCCAGCCTGGGTGACAGGGTGAGACTGTCCACCCCAAAAAAGAAAATGTCAGATGTGAAGCTTTGTCCAGAAGGGTGTGATGTAGGAGGCCTGGGAGCAGGGAGAGAAAGAGAGAAAGACATGGAGAGCAAGAAGAGGAGATGGGGAATGAGGGCTCCAGAGACTCCCTTGGTTCAAATTCTGCTTTCACCAATTGGTAGCTGGGAATCCTAAGCAACCGGTATCGCTTCTCTTGCCTCTTTTTTCTCATCCACAAAATACGGGCTCGTGAAAACATGTGGTGTTAGTTAAATAAGTTATTTAGAAACAAGTTATATGTGGCTGGGTGTGGTGGCTCATGCCTGTAATCCCAGCACTTTGGGAGGCTGAGGTGGGTGGATCATTTTGAAGGGGGCCTGCCCCTTCACCCCTGTGGGTATTTCTTCCAAGGTGAAGATGAGAGACTGAGAAAAGAAATAAGGCACAGAGACAAAGTATAGAGGAAGAAAAGTGGGCCCAGGGGACCGGTGCTCAGCAAGTGAGGACCTGCACCGGCACTGGTCTCTGAGTTCCCTCAGTATTTATTGATCACTTTCCCTACTATCTTAGTGAGGGGCATGTGGCAAGACTATAGGGTAATGGTGGGGAGGGGGTCAGCAGGAAAGCATGTGAGCAAAGGACTCTGTGTCATAAATAAGTTTAAGGAAAGGTGCTGTGCCTGGATGTGCACGTAGGCCAGATTTATGTGTGACTTTACACAAACATCTCAGTGCAGTAAAGAGCAGTATTGCTGCCAGCATGTCTCACCTCCAGTCATAAAGTGGTTTTCTCCTATCTCAGTAAATAGAATGTACTATCGGGTTTTACATCGAGATATTCCATTCCCAGGGAGGAGCAGGAGACAGATGCCTTCCTCTAATCTCAACTGAAAAAGAGGCCTTCCTCTTTCATTAATCCTCCTCAGCACAAACCCTTTACGGGTGTCGGGCACGGTCAGGTCTTTCTCTTCCCACGAGGCCATATCTCAGGCTGTCTCCGTGGGGGAAAACCTTGGACAATACCCAGGCTTTCTTGGGCAGAGGTCCCTGCAGCCTTCCACAGTGCATTGTGTCTGGGTACTTGAGACTGGAGAATGGTAGCGACTTTTACCAAGCATACCACCTGCAAACACATTTTTACCAAAGCACATCCTGCACAGTCCTAAATCCATTAAACCTTGAGTCAATACAGCACATGTTTCTGCGAGCACAGGGTTGGGGCTAGGGTTACGGATTAACAGCATCTCAAGGCAGAAGAATTTTTCTTCGTACAGATCAAAATGGAGTTTCTTATGTCTTCCTTTTCCTGCATAGACACAGTAACAGTCTGATCTCTTCCTTTCCCCCACACATTTGAGGTCAGGAGTTCAAGACCAGCCTGGCCAACATGGCGAAACCCCGTCT